CCGTCTTTCTGGTAAGATCGGTGCTCCGTTCCGCAGAGGGCAGTGGCACTCAAGACCCCTTTATCCTCCGTCCTGGAGCGGCAGGTGGCCCGGGTCGCCTCAGCCGGCTCAGAGATGGTTCCGGCCTGGAGGGGTGGAGGGGGCTGGGTGGAAGGTAGGTGTGGGCGCCACGGCGATCGGGGCTGGGGAAACTGCCCAGCCCGGCGGACAGCGTGGGTTTCCGGAGGATCTGCGTTGCAGGTTGGGGGAGGTTGCGCGCTTACTTAAACGGACTTGGTCCCTGGGCGTCCCTTTTTACGCGTCACTTTGGCAAACGCACAAGGAGACCCAATCCCATGACAGCCACTTTCGTTCCCCTTCACCTGGGTCCTGTGGAAGTTTGAGAGGCAGCCCTTCGGGTTAGGTGCTGCAGTTCAGCAAGAGCTGTGTAGCACGAGGATGAGCTAGTGAAGGCCTGGCTCGTGCTAGCGTTAATAACCTATGGCGTCTTCCCTCTGCGGCGTTTCAGCCCATTTTAAAGAGTAACTATATCAGGCTGCGAGCCCTAAGACTAACAAGAAGGTTAATCATCCACATCGAATCTCAAGCAGTTCCTTGACCCACCTTCATGCCCCACACCTGAGCTAGATGGAAATCAAGGAATTATTTTTATTTTTATTTTTATTTCCAGTATTGGAGATCGAACTCAGGACCTTGCGTTTGTCAGGCAGGCACGGCACCCCTGAACTAAATCCCTGTCCCTTCTTGCTTATTTTGAATTAATGACTTTGTTCTTGATTTTTATATGGTACATAGTTTATTTGCTAGTTTGTCTTTTTCTCAACTTTCTCTGTTTGAATGTTGGGCACTCACATTTTATTTATTTAAAAATTTGAGATATATGCATGGTTTCTCTTCTATGGGAAACCCAAAATATAAATAGCAAAAGAAAAGGTGAACAATAGGAAACAAGGAGATAGATATTTTGCAAAAGGGAAGGAGACCAGGAGATGGGGGGGGGGAGAAGAGAAGAACAGGATTAAAGAAAGAATTAAGATATATTATGCACATGTAACAACTGCCCACAGTGAATGTAGTCATTGTGCACCGCAAATATGTACTAATAAAAAAAACTAGAAAAGAGTAAAATAATGTTTTCCCTTAAAGATGCAGAAATTGAGAATGTGCTCTATCTCTTAGGATACAGGGATACATTTGTTGATCTTTTGTGCTCTTGAATTTGCCTCATCTGCAGATCTCTAGTTGAAGTTTTGCAGCAGAAGTGAATTCTGGGTTATGTGTTTTGGAGAAATGTTACAGAATAATGACTTGAAAAAAACCTCCAGGATTAAAGGAGTTTGGTTGTTTTGGAGGTGCTGGGGGTTCAATCCAAGGGCCTCAAGCGTGCCAGGAAAGTGTTCTGCCACAGATCTATATCCTGATTCCTGAAAGTAGTCTTTAAAA